CCCTCCCCTGGTTGGCACTTTCTCTGGGTGGAGGCTGTGGAAAGACGCTAGGGCTGCTGACCTCAAGAAAGGCCACCCAGTCTGGAAAAAGACAGATCGTCTGTGGTCAGTCCCTGGTGACCAGACCCCACCCACAGGGACCCTTGGCCCAGGACGCAGACCTGGGCAGCGGGGCTGGTGTGTGGGCTGGGCTGGCCTGCGGCAAGGGCCTGTGCTACTCGGTGACTGTCCTATGAGTAAGGAGATGGGGGGCGGGCAGATGGAGACACTGATGTATACGCAAAGATGGAAACGGTGGTTTCTGGGTCATATCTCGGGGGCCTGCCACTGTCACGCTAGGCCAACGATGCACCAAGGGTGGCCCCTGGCCCACATCACGGCTTCACTCAGGTCCTTGGGCCCCAGACCTCAGAGTCAGATACTGGGCTCTGGGAGTGGCTCCGGTGCCACCCCAGCCTTCCAGGGCCTCGGGATGGGTGTCAGAAGGTGCGGGGGGCAGAGGTGGGCCGAGAGCTTGTGAGCAGGGGAGGGTCTGGAGGAGGGCGGGTTGGCCTCAGGCGAGGGCTGGTGCGAGGAGCTGCCCAGAGGGCTGACCTGAGAGGCGGTGGGAGCAAAGCACCCACAGAAACCCAGAGGCAAGAAGAATCTAGCCCGTCCGGGTGCCCAGCCCAGGGCGATGGTGCCTTGGAGACAAGATGCAGGCTAGCCGAGTGGAAGGGTCTGCCTGGGCTTCTGTTTGCACGTACGTGTTCCTTTGTCCCAGTTCTATGACGGGCATGGAGGAGGATGGGGAGACCCAAGGGGGCTAGGGGAGACCTGGTCCTGCCCCCAGGATCTTGCAAATGTTCCACGTTGCCAAGAGCATGGGCAGGAGCCCGGGTGGCATTGTGGGGTCTGTGTTAGGCTGCTCACTGCAAGGCCGGCCCTTTGAGAAACCTCGGCTGCTCCGAGGGAGAAAGACAAGGCTGTCTACTCCCGGAAAGGGTTACAGTCTCAGAGACCCACAGGGGTAGGGCTGCCCTTTCCATGGGACTGCTACGGGCGGAATCCACTTGATGACAGGGAGGAATTTGGGGGGGAGGGGTCTGTGAAGGAGCATGGTGGTCAAGATTCTGTTGGGGGGTCTGGCCGCTCAGCTCAGCAGGAGTCACCCCCCACCCGGTCCAGGAGTGCCAGGGCTTGGTGGTAGTTGAGGGTGCTCGTGGCAAGGGGCCCAGCTGGCGTCACCGTGTTGGTAGGGACTGAGCAGGGCGTGTCCTGAGAGGGAGGTGGGGAAGTGTCCGTGGGCAGCTCACGTGGCCCAGGCTAGAGGTCCCCTCGGGGCCGGAGAAGTGAGTGGGAGGTGATGTCAGGGTCGCCACTCACAAAGCCGGGTGACTCAGCCCGCTTGGCTCCTCCCGGCAGCTCCCAGCTGTCCCTTTTCCCAGAGCTGTGAATGAATGTGGCAGGTCTGGCTGCCCCGTTTTCTGTGCAGACACGAGCGGCAGTCAGGCCTGGCTAGCTACGTGTGTGCGTGCACGAGTGGGGCGTTGGATCCTGGTTTGATTTCCATGTCTTCCAGGAGCCCGGGGATGCTATAGGATAAGCATTTGGGCTGCTGACCGCGTGGCCAGAGGTTCAAATCCACCAGGAGCTGCACTGGGTAAAGAGGAGTCTGTCTGCTCCCATAAAGATTCACAGTCGTGGAGGGTCGCGATGAGTCGGCCTGGATGGGATGTGCAGTGGGGTGACGTCCCTAAGCCCGTTGGGAATGTCCCCCTTTTCCAGGGCCTGTCGTAAAGCATTTGCTGTCTATGTGACTTGTATTGGCCGCATGCTTGGCCCCGGAGCAGGGCCACTCCGAGTCGGCATCGGCTGGATGTCAGGGAGGTTTTACGAAACAAGGTGGCGGCCATCTCGGTCCACAAGTCTTTTGACAGTCTGGCTGGCTCTATTCTTTTCTTCTTAAGATTTATTCCTAGAAATGAGTTTCATGGGCCAAAGGATATGGCCCTCAGGAAGCCCATTAACAGCAAAAAACTGCCAAGTTGCTTCCAGGAGGAGAGCAGCTGCCCACGGCCCCGCCAGGGTCAAGTGTTATTCAACGGAACTAACACAAAGCGTCGTGGAAATGGCGTCTGCTTTCGTCGTCACCCCGTTTTCTATCTTAGGTGCACTTGGGGGATTCTTCTCTTGCCCACTTACGTTTTGCTCTCTCTACCCTTAACCACTCAGCCGTCTCCACTTGCAAATTCTCCCAGGTGTTTTTTTTCCTCCGTTAAGTCTCTCCAGTTCCCTCGGGTGGTTGAGTCACAGTGCCTCCCAGTGGTGAAGGCTGGTCACAGTTCAGGAAGCAGCCCTTGGTTAGCGCCCTGGGCCTCCCAGAGCCGGCCAACGGGAAAAGGGCGTTTACACATCCCTGGTACTTTAAGTCAGAGGGATGCCAGAGTCAGGGGGAGCAGGGAAGGAAACAGCTTGAAGGATCATTGAGCGCTGGAGCTAGAATTGGCGTCTTTTCAATCTCCAGATGGAAAACCCAACAATAGGTGTTGAAAACGTGTCTTAAAAGGCTGAGGGCCCTGGGGACAGGAGTGGAGCAGGGCCTGGGACACTGCCTAGGAGGCCGGAGGTCCTGGAGCCAGATCTTGGGGCGAGCTCCGGCGGTGGGGGTGCTCCTTGGGCCTCTCTGATGACTCTTCCCATAAGTGACTGTCACCGGAGGAGACGCCCGTCGGCTCTGTGTATCTCGTCACTCACCTCTGTCTGTCCTGCGTGCCCCACAGATCTCGGCATCCTCCTTGGAATGGCCTGGGGGAACGAGGACTTGGAGGTGTGGCCACTGGCCCAGCGAGAGACCTGTGCCTTCACGGGCTACCTGCGGGACAAGCTGCAGTACAAGAACCGGCTGCAGTACATGGTATCCACCGGGCCCGCTGTGCCCTGGGCCTGGCTCTTTTGTTCTTTCAGTTCGCGACTGTCTGCTGTGCTGCCCCTCCCCTGTCCATCCCAGAAGCCACTGCACCTCCTACCTGCTCTGATTTTTGACCCCATCTACACATAGCTCTCACTCAAACTCCCCAGTGGACCAGGAGATGGGTGGGGAGCCCCAGGGCGGAGCAAGTGGGCTGCTGAGCTCCCTTTGAGGGGTGAGGAAGTCCTCGATCTCTGCAAGTCTGTCTGTCTTCCTTCTTTCTTTTTAAAACCATTTAAAATTGTACAATAGTTCCACAGGGCGGGGTGGGGTGGGGTCGGCGGCAGAAATCAGCTTTCCTGAGTTTGAATTCTCACCGTATAGGAGGAGGCTCCAAAAAGTTTGTGCAAAGTGGAGTGGAAAGAATGTTCCCTTGAACTTTTTGAAGCCCTTGTATGATCCCCCCGTCGAAAGTGTACAGTGAAAAGGATTTTGTAAATAACAGTTTTATTGACATACAATTGAGGCACAGATGTTTTGTGTCCAGCTTGCCTCCCAAAGCGTCCTCCCAGGGCCCACGCTGCCTTTTCTGAATCACCTCCCTGATGCGGTTATTCACCTGAAAGGTGACCCCTGGGAAAGGGCTCTGTTTGAGGTGTGATGCGTAACTGTCGTGTTGGCTCCGTCAATCTTTGACCCTTACAAGCCCCAAATTCGCTGCCATTGGGTCCACGCTGACTCATCGCAACCCCCCATGGGTTTGTGAGACTGTATCTGAAAGACTGGGAGCCCCGTCTTTCTCCCAAGGAGCTGCTGGTGTATCTGAACTGCTGACCACGTGGATGGCAGCCCAGTCTCTAACCCTTGCACCACCAGGGCTCCTGTTCAGGCTGTTCAGCCGGTGTTTTTAGAGATTTTGAGCACTGTCTCACATGGTTTCCCCCTCGGTCTGGGATCTCCCTTTGCCACCTGGTTCAGAGAGGTCAGCAGGGATTGCCGGGCACCATCTGGTTCTTCTGGTCTTCTGGAGGCCAAGGTGCCCGTGATCCACCCATCCTCTGGGCTAAGATGTCCATGTGTATTGGATGTTCTTCACACCTCTAGGGGCTGAGACCTATTGAACCTTAGGGGAAAATAGGTCTTTCTTGAAGCTGTCTGTTCCTGACAAGAAGCTTCTGCCTTCCCCTAGCCTGAGGATTTTGTGTCAGCCTCTCCTGAGTTCCAGAGGACAGAACTCTGCTCCCCTCCGGGCGCCCAGTTGTTATTCCCCAAGAAGGCAGCTCTGCCACGTGCCTCTCGTGTTAGCCTGGCTGGGAGTGGGGGCACCCGGCTCAGCCATTTCTGCCTCTGACCTCGGGTCTTGTCCTTGCACCTTGCAGAAATACTACTTCCCCATCAACTACAGGATCAGCGTGCCTTATGAGGGAGTGCTCAGAGTGGCCAACATCACCAGACTGGTGAGGATCCCTGCTGGGCTGGGGAGACCCTGGACGTGGGCATGCACACGTCACGTTGCCAGAGCCCCAGAGCCCCCTCACTGTCACTCAACACAGGGCCCAGGGGGGCCCACCTCTGTTCATGCTGGACAGGCCCTTCCAGCGCGACCACAGCCCCCGGGGGTCAGGACAATGTGGCTACCCAGAGGACAGCGCAGGTGTTTCCATGCGTTCTCCCGTCTCCCCAGCAGAGGGCGCGAGTGAGCGAGCAGGAGCTGCGGTACCTGTGGGTCTGGGTGAGTCTCAGCACCATCGAGTCTGTGCAGGAGGTGTTGCTCCGCGACCACCCGTCCTGGAAGTACCTGGATGAGGTCCAGACGCTGCTGGTCAACGTCCAGCAAAACCTCAGGGTGAGCCGCGTGCGTGTGCTCGTGTGTGGATGCTGGGAAAGCGTGGCCAAGGGATGGTGAGGGAGGGGATGGGCCTGTGGAAAGTTCCAGCATGTCCCAAGAGGGGAGGGAGGCACGGAGGCACGGGAGTGGGGCCAAGGGTCCAGCACTGGCTCTCCGCCTGGGGTCCTGGGCTCAACATCCAACGCCTGGCACTTGGCGTCTACCTGGGAAAACCCACCCACCAACCCAAGATTCTGCATACCTGCCTGCTACCCGGGCTGCCTCAGGACTGGAAAACCAGTTGCCATGGTGACTGGGGACGGCTTCGGTGGGTGTCCCAGGAGAAAGGCGTCTCCTGGGGGTTAAGTGCTGAGTTTGCTGCAGTGTGGATAACGGGCCTTTGGCCCGAGGGGCCTCTGCGTGCAGGACACCCGCCAACCTCCAGTTAGCCGATGAGCGCACCAAGCGCCCAGCAAAGCCCAGCGTCTCAGAATGTAAAGAACAAAACCAAAAACCACTGCCAGCCAGACCATGCGGACTCCCGGTAACCTTCTATGGGGTTGCTGAGGCTATGGATCAGCGGTTCTCAACCTGTGGGTCGTGACCCCTTTGGGGGGTCCAATGGCCCTTTCACAGGGGTCATCCAGTTCATAACAGTAGCAAAATGACAGTGATGAAGTAGCGACGAAAATAATTTTCTGGTTGGGGGTCACCACCGCACGAGGAACTGTATGACAGGGTCGCAGCATTAGGAAGGTTGAGAGCCACTGCTGTAGATCTTTATGGGACCAAGTGTCTTCCTCGGAGTGGCTGGTGGGTTTGAAATGCCAACCTTGGGGTTCCCAGCCCAGTGGCTACCTGACGCCACCACCAGGGCCCCTTTCCAAAAGCCAAACTCGCTGCCATAGAGTCGGTTCTGACTCACAGTGACCCAGTCGGACCCATTAGAACTACTCATGTGAGACAAGTAGCTCCTGACGGGAGTGGGAGATTGTGTTCACCTGGGTACTTTAGAGAAACAAATCCACAGAAACTCATGTATAAGAGAGAGTTTCATATAAAGGGTAAGTGCACATCAAAAAAATCCCAACCCAGTGCTGCCCAAGCCCACAAGTCCAACATTAACCCATATGACCAACACCAATCCACAAAGTCCTCCTCCATCTCACAAAACACACACAATGACACCGACTGCAGGAGGAAAGCCGAATCAGTGAATGTGTAAGCATCCAAGTGCTGACAGGGGTCTCCACATGGCTGCTCCAGCACCCAGGGCTGCATCAGGGTAGGTCCATGCGGCTTCTTCTTGGGGATGTCTTGCAGGAAGTGAGCCTTGCCAGCTAAAGCAGGGAAACTGGCTAAGGCAGCTGCACACTGGTCCGACCATCAGAAAGCAAGAGACCCGAGAACAAGAAAGACAAGGTTCACCAAGCCATTTATCTCTCCGCCCTTCAATTAACCCCATGTGTTTATTGGCCAGGTTGGCACAATAAACATTAACTATCTCAGAGACCTTGTCTTTCTCCCCCAGAGCGGCTGGTGGTTAGTAACCCACACACCACCAGGGCTCCTTAGAGCCCCGACACAGACGAGTCATTTGCCCTACAGCCTGGTGAGAGGATTAGAGTATGTTCATACATCTCTTGTGGATAGCTATAGGACACCCCTTCATGCCCAGCTGCCTACCCTTACCCACCTTTGTCTGCGCCCTGCACATGTTTGTCCTGGGACAGGCACCTGTGGCCCAAGTCGTGGGCAAAACCTCCCACAGCAACTGTGTGTGTGAATATGAGAGGGCTCATGGATGGGCAACTGTTTCTGCAGCTGCCAGAAGGTCTCCGGAGCGGTGGAGGAGGGCCTCTCAGGGCCTGGCAAGATCAGCGGCCCCATGAGCTCCGCTGAAGGGCTCCTTCCCCGGTGACCAGTCCCTCTGAGCTAATTATTCTACGAGAGCTCATCAGTAGTTGTCCTTTTGTGTCTGACTGATTGCACTCACCACCGGCATGTCTTCAAGGTTCGTCCGAGTAGGAGCGTGAATCACAATCTTGTTTCTCTTTGTGGTGGGATGAGTCCGTTATGTCCACGTCCATAAATTCAGCCGTTGGAAATCCTACAGAGCCCGGTGCTGCTAGGAAACATGGCTTCTCAGTGCGAGTGAGAGTGTGTGTGAAAAACTAGTTTCTCTCAAGTGATGGGCACTGGCCTGAGCCCACTTTTCAGCTATGGTGAATAGTGGGTCCTGCCACAGTGCCCTCTGGTGGACATGTAGCTGCTTGGCTGCTTTCAGTTCTTTGGGGTATGTTGCCAAGAGTGGGGCTGCTGGTTCATCAGGTCATTCAGTCCCTATTAACCTAAGGGTCGGCAGTTCAAACCCACCCAGCCACCCCATGGAAGACAGGCTTGGCAACCTACCCCAGCTGGGAAAAGCCTCGTGTACAGGGCTGCCTCAGTGGGAAATGGCTCTGGGGAACCTGGGACGGCTTCTTTTTTAAAAAAAATGGTAATCCTATGTTGAATTCTTTCCAGGACCAGCCAAACTCTTTTCAGAGAATGTTGGAAGAAGGTCTTCGCTTGGCTTGGAGCTTGGAGGGGCTGTAGCTAGCACTGAGCTAGTGCTTTGGCCTCGGGGCAGTTAGCACACGTTGGGGCTGTTGGGTTATCTGTTAACAGGGAGGAGCCCCCGTGGGGGGCAGGGCCCCCTTTCCTGTAATATTTCTACTGTTCTGAATCCGGCGACCCCCAAAGGGGTCCCGACCTGATCAGACCCCAGACATCCTCCACAGCTGCCCAGGCCCCCAGGTGGAGAGCCAGGGAGAGGCAGAGGGAGTGATGGAGAAAGGTGAAGGGGGCGGGGTCTAGTCCACGGGAAGGGGGGGTAGGTGACCCCAGAGGCTGAACCTGGCCGGGCTGGCGATTCCGACCCGGATCCTAGTGGGGGGTGGGACATGGTGGAAAGTATAAAACAGGCTCCCAGACCAGTTCAGAGTTCTCAGCCGTAGCTTCCTCCGACCCCCCCTTAGAACCCAGTGGGGCAGCTGGGCTCCCCCGCCGTGGGGCCTGGAGCCCAGTGCCCGCAGGTGGATGCCCTCTCCCCGTTGCCGGATCTCCTGAAGGCAGTCTCCCTCGAGGTCGGGGTGACCCCTCCCGGGGCCTTGATCTAAAACCAAACATTGGGCCCCAACTTCGTCTCATGGTGGCCGGGGCTCTGGCCCTCATCTGTCCAGAGATGGGAAGAGAAAAGTGTGTCTTGGCCTTGGGGGAGTGGGCCCTCTCCCGTCCTCAGGGCAGGCAGACGGCCAGCACCTTGTCCATCTTTCCTACGACCCTGGGGCGCGGGCTGGGTGGGCCAGCGTTCACCCACCCGGCGGCGGCCCCCATCGGGCGGTGGCCCCTGGGGCTCTGACGGTGTCCTCCCTTGCAGGACGTGGAGACCAGTCCTGAGGTGGAGATGCTGCTGTCGCTCCTGAGTGCCCCAGGGCTGAAGCTGGTGCGGCCCAAAGCGCTGCTGGACAACTGCTTCCGGGTCATGGACCTGCTGTACTGCTCTTGCTGTAAGGAGCCCGCGTGCCGGAAGCTGCGGGGCGGGGCCGGGCGGCGCCTCGGGCGTTTCCCGGGAGACCGTCGCAGGGGGCCGAGAGGGGTCCTGGGGACAGCGGTGTGGCTTGGCCTCTGCGGGGCTGGGGCGACCACCGCTGCCTCTGTGCTTCCCCTGCTCCCGGCAGGTAAGCAGAGCTCCTTCCAAGTGTGGCAGGACTGCGAGGTGCCCAGCCCGCAGCCCCCCGCCACCCCGCGGGGCGCCCAGGAGCAGGTGAGCACCCCGGACCGAGGCCTCCGGCCCTGACGCCTGCCCCGCGGCCTTGTGCACACACCGGAGACCCGCCCGCGACTCGGCGCCCCTGGGGAGGAACCCCTGGGGGAAGGCTGCCTTCCTTCGGCTGCCTTTCCCAAGTCGACGTGGTTGCACTTGGAGCTGGGGGCCCCGAAGGTGGACCCGGACCGGGTTCGGGACCCTGCGGGCAGCAGGCAGCCTCCCCAGGGCTTCCCCGTCTGAAACAGCCAGCTGTCCTGGAGTCCCTGCCGGCCTCGGCGCCCCGGTGCGTGTCGGAGGAGAACTGCACTGCGCAGGGATTTCCGCCGCTGATTTTCAAAAGGAGGTCGCCAGGCCATGCTTCTCACACACCCGCGTGGACTTGGCCGGCCGGCCTGCCTCGGGGTCACAGCCGAGTGTGTTAAGCACATGCACCACCCAGGGACTCCTGAAGGTACTGCAGGTGTCGGGGGACCGGGAGGCAGGTGGGCGTCGGGGATAGTTGCTGGAGAGGGTGGGTCTGAATGCCACATCTTGCCACAGTGGCCGCCCTCCCAGTGGTTTTCTATTGTTTTCTATTAAACACCCATTTTACTTGGTTTGACTTGCATCTCTGAGGGTTGGGCACCCGTGTGGTTGGCCGTGGGCATGGGGACTCAGGCTGGTCCTGCCCTTGGGGTGTGCAGTGGCAAGTATTTCTCATCCTGTTCTTTCACAGAGATGGAGTAGGGAGGGGGTGTTGAGATTCAGGGACTCAGGCATTCCACAGGCCTGGTCTCCCTGTGCCCCGCTTGGCCCCGAGACTCTTAGGAGCCTTGGGAACTGTATCTGGAGTGGGAAAAGGCTGGGAGCAGGTGGCCCCTGGGTGCAGGGCAGGTGGGTGGGCAGGTAAGCAAGCCAGGCGTGTTAATTACAGTACAGCTTTATTAATACTGGAGCTTCACAGTGCATTTGTTACTTGTAGCAGTGACTATTTAAATCAAGGGAAGGATGGGATGGAGGGGGATGAGGAGAGGGAAATTTATCCAAAATCTGCCAGAAAGAAACAAAGAAAATGGTTCTGTGGGATGACGGGAGAGGAACAGGTGAGTGGGGACCAGGAGGGGAGGCCTGGGGTGGGAAAATAAATTAAGAAAAGGAACAAGTTAACAACAGCACCAGAAAAGTTACTTCAGTCGATAAAGATGCGCTTGAAAAGAAAATCTCTGTACAAAATGGAAAATAAAAGCAACGGAAAGAAGCCCCCCAAACCAAAGTCTGTGGTGTGGATGATTGGCTCGGATCCCAAGGGGCTGGGCCTACCAGGTGGTCGCTAAGTGAGGAGAGGGCAGTGGGTGGGTCACAGGGGTGGAATATGTACAGCCTAAGTGCTTGGGGAAAGGGAGGGCAGAGGGGCCGTGCCATGCCTGCCCCCTTCCTGGGAAGCCCACAGGCTCCCACACTCCTATGGAGCCAGGGGAGGGATGTCGGCAGTGCCCACTTCCTGTGGGGTGGAGGTGGGGGGGAGGCAGCTCTTCCTCACAAGACCCTCAAATTTGTCACATACCACAAGGATTGGGCAAGGCCCTAGTATGGCACCCCCTGCCCTCCTCCAGCCCTTCTTACATCCCCTGAACCTTAAGCCATTCCCCCACATGGGCAAGCACCAGTGGAGCTGCCCTCTGCCCTTCACTTCCATGTACCTGCTTTCCATCCTCAGGGTGCAGGGGATCCATCCCCCACAAGAGCTTCCTTGACTACCCCCCGCCCGGCCCAAGAGCCGAGGTGGGGAGCCTCAATGTGCTATTGAGCCCAGGGAAAACCTGCTCTCCTGCCCCTGCTCCAAGGCCTTAGTCTCACCTGCTCTGGCCCTGCTGAGACAGAGTGCTGAGGTGGAGAGCCCTGCCCCCCACTGCCAGCACAGGACTGGGCCTCCGGTGGCCATCATTTGGGGTGGCATCTCCTCTGGCCACAGAGTCAAAGCCAACCTCCCCTGGACAGGCTGGCTTGGTGGCCCTCGGCTTGGGCTGCAGGCTAGACTCCGTGGAGAGTAACGTTGCCTCCCGCCAGCCTTCTCAGCCAGAGGCCATTCCTCCTGCCTGCCCCTTTGGACCCCCAAAACACATGCCCGCCACCTTGCTCTCACACACCGTCCTCCTCCAGAATCAGCTCCACTTTTATTTTGTTCATCAAGTACCCCCCCCACCGTGCACACACACGCACACACACACACCACCCTGTACAGCTCCAGCCCCCACTTCAAAGGTGGCTAAAACTGTGACCTCAAAGTGCCACCAGAGTTTAAGTCTGACGTGCCCAGATGAGACCGGACACCTGAGTACAGTCCAGCTGGCCGGCCACGTGAACCCCAGGCTTCTGGTCCCCTCACCCTGCTTCCCTTGGCCCCTCAGGAACCAATCTCTGCGGGCCCCATCCTGCAGCCACACCGCAGGGGTTCTGGCGGGGCCATCCCTGGGCCCCTGAGCCACCTCCCCAGACTCCATGTGGGGCTCAAGGCCCACTTCTCCGAACTTCAACCTCCCCCAAGCCCCAAGCCATCTGTGGGACACTCTGGGCCAGTTAGACACCTCAACTGATTAGACCCCACGGCAATCCAGTGTGGGGGTCGGGGAGGGGAGAAGGGGCGGAGTCAGGGGCAGGAGGCGGGGTCTGCATTCTGGGTGGGGGGCGAGGCACCGCCCACTGGGCCCGTCTGGGCAGTCTGGGGCGCTACGCACTGGGGACCCCAGGCCCGAAGAGTGCGAAGGTGGCCTCGGGGCCCTCGGCTGTAGGTCGCGCCTAGGGGCTCGCTGTCGGACGGGTGGGGCCTGCCAGGGAGGAGGGGCGAGAGTAGCAAGAAACGTATAAAACAGGCTCCAAACCAGTTCCGTACGCAGGCGCCTCCGGGCGGGCCGACGAGTTAAGGACGTCACTTCCTGTTGTTTCCCCGCTGGCGTCTCAGCTGGGTGTCATTCCATCGAGTGGTTTCACCTGTGACTTCGTCGGAGCTGCGCCCAGCACGCTGGGCCACGGGCCTCAGCGAGGCCAGAGCCGGGGAGGCGCCGTCACAAGATGCGGGGCGCCGACCTGTCGTTGGTGACGGTCCTGCGGAGGCGCACCCCGCGCCGGATGGCCACCAGCATGTCTTCAGCCGGAGGGTCGCCGGTGGCGGCAGGGGGCGGGGTGGGGGTCTCCTCGGCCGGGGTGGCCGCCAGCGCCGTGGGGAAGGGGAACTGGCCCTCGCCCAGCGCGTGGGCGCCCGCCACCAGCTCCCCGAGCTTCTCCACCAGGCTGTGCCGGTTGGCGGCCAGCTGCTGCTGCTGCTGCTCGTCGTCCTCCTCGTGCCCCGGCCCCGCGTAGCCGCCTGCCTCCGGGGTGGGGCTGCCCCAGGCCGTGTTGGGCAGGCTGAGCCTCTTCGGGGAGGCCTTGGCCAGGTCCCCGGCCAGGGGCGAGGCGGCCTCGTCGCTGTAGAAGACACACTCCTCGCTGCCCGCCCGCGTGGGCCCCGCGTAGCCAGGTGAGTCGGGCACAGTGGGCGTCTTCACGGGCACGATGGGCGGCCGGATGGGGATGGGGCCGGCGCTGGAGAACGCGCGGCGCACGGTGGGCTTGGTGGAGGGCGTGCGGCGGATGGTGGCCACGCCCGGCGGTGCCCCGGAGGGCAGGCCGGTGCCCGAGGCGGTGGGCAGCCCTGCCGTGGAGGCCGGGCGCTTGGTCTGGATCAGGCGGCGGTAGTTCTGGGCGATGTTGCTGTTGCGGGGGATGGTGGACGACTTGTCGAATTCAGGCGGGCCCTCGCTGTCCACGTCCCCGTTCACCGAGTAGCAGTCGTAGTCCGAGCCTGGGGGCGTGGCACACATTGAACCTGGGTGCCCAGGTCCCCACCGGGACTGGCCCTGAATGCCCACCCGCAGGCTCACGGGGCTGGGCCTCGTTGGAAACGGGGCCCCGGCGCCCACCTTGGGAGGGGATGGTGTCCTCGGAGCAGGAGGGCGTGGTGGTCTGCGTGCTGTAGCCGCTGGAGTACTGCAGCGAGTCCCGGCTACTCTTCTGGTGTTCCAGGCTCAGGCCGCGGGTCAGCACCATGGCCAGGTCACTGGCCGCGGGGGACACCTCCTCACCGTGCTGGAGAAAGGCAGGGGTCACCGGCTAAAGCCACCGGGCTGCCCCCACGCTGACCTCTGCCCAGGCCGCAAGCAGCCCCACCCAGTGGCCAGCGCTGGCCCTGCAGACAGCGCGCAGGCTCGCTGGGGTCTCTTGGCATTTACCTGGGGGTGGCTGGGCCGCCAGGGGGGCAGTACCTACCTTGGCTGCGATAGTGGCAGGGGACATCCTGGCCCGGGGCACCTCCTCCCCGCCGGGCCCCACGGTGCCCCCGCCAGCGGGGCCGGGCTCTGAGTCTCTGAGGAGCTCCACACGGTCCCTTCTTCGCTGCAGGCTGGTGCCAGCAGACTGCTCATGAGGGCCGGCCTTGGCCCAGTCCTGTGGGAGGATGGGCAGGTCAGAGCCAGGCTGCACAGCTGCAGGCCCTTCATGGAACTTGGGCTCACTTTGAGGGTCAATGGCAGAGGCTGCACGGAGCAGGGGGCGGCTGAGTGGCCCCTGAGACCCTCAGGCCCAGGGCAGGGGGGTGGGGGGGAGCGGTGTCCCAGGAGGGAGAGATGTGGGTGTAGTGTGGCTTCTGGGGATGGCGCTGGGTGCACCCACCCCTCTATGTCACCAGGGCAGGAGGCAGGTGACTAGCTGGTGATGGGTGGGGCCCGGCTGCTGCCTGGTGGTGTGTGTGGGGAGGGCACTGACCGAGGTGGGGGAGCTGCACTCGCTAACGGACTGGCAGGTCTCTGAGGCCTCGGAGGACGCGGAGCTGGAGGACTTCTGCCATGCAGAGGCGAGTGGGTGGTCGCACAGACAGACAGACACAGGTGGACAGGCGGAGGAGAGAACAGACGTGTCAAAGCGCCGGCATGCAGCGGTCCGGGGCGCGGGATGCAGCCCAGAGCGCACGCTACAGACACTGACGCCCAAGGAGCCCCCGCCCGTTTGAACCCCACTTCATAGACACACAGTAGGGCCTGCTGATGGCCGGAACGAGGTGGACGCGAGCTAGAGGGGGACCAAGGATGGCAGCTGGGGGTGTGGCTGTAGTGGGTGGGTGGGCCATGCTACTGTCTTCTCAGAGGAGAATCCTGGAGGCCCGAGGGCCATCCTGCAATTGTACTTGCAGGGCTGCCATCCAGGGAGAAGTCGGGGTGGAGCCAGTATCCTATAGCTGTGGGGCAGGGTAAGGTCATGTAGGTGGTGCTGGCAGTCCAAGGATGGAGCTCCAGCATTTAGTTCAAGGACTAAGAAGAGTATCCAACAGAGGAGAGAGACGACAAGGCAGGGAAG